ATTATTATTATTATTATTATTATTATTATTATTATTATTATTATTATCATCAAAGTATTAGCCCTAGACATCTTTGGAATGGATTTGGGACTTGGCCCAGCCTGGCTCCTCATTTTCTAAGGCCGGAGAAAGAAGAATAGAGTCTCCTGGTGTGGATGCAGTCTACCTTAGAGCATTGATTCTGCAAAGAACAAGGTGTTGGATGATTTGGCCACGTGCATGTGTCACAGGGTGACGAACAGTGCTAGGAAAAAAAATCATGTGTGGGTCAATGAAAACAAAAGAAGGAACAGAAGGGTGTGTAAAGTGTTCTCTCTCTCTCTCTCTCTCTCTCTCATTAATGGGTTTTTTTAGCAGCGACGGGGAAAGAAAAATATCGAATAGGACAACTTTGAAACATAAACTGTTGTGTTTTTTTAAGAAAATGCTGGTTCTATCAGTCTCGCCCTTGCGCAACCGGCTTGGTGAGGTGTGATGCCCCGTTAAAAAGGACAGGAGTGTCGGAAGTGTCTTTTTCACCTTGGGCGGGTGGGGTGTGGAAGGCCAAGTGAGAGGTTGAGGTTGGGGGTTTGGACAAGCCGGGGGTTGGTGAGTGAAGGCATAGCTGGGGGCTGAATCAGAGGGGCAACGTGGAAGGGGGAGGTGCCTGTCACCGTGATTAAGAGGGCTTGGTATAAAAAGGGTACAGGTTGCCAGCTGGCTCTCCAACCGAACCGTGCAATTGCTCTGCAAGGCTGGAACTTGGCGAAGAGGTGAGTGGAGTAGGCGAGCGAGACGGGTCAAGGGATGGGTGGATGGATGGATGGATGGAAGGAGAAAAGGCGAAATCGTGTACCTTTGGGAGAGATGGAAGCCCTGAGTATTGTAGGGAGGAAGAGGAGGCGATGAAGGAAAAGGGGATGAAGAAGGAAAAGGATGAAGAAAAGGAGGTAGAAGAGGATGAAGGAAGAAGGAGATGAAGAAGGAGATGAAGGAGAAGGAGGACAAGGGGATGAAGGAGGAAAGGAAGGAGGTGTAGAAGAAAAGGGGGAGAAAGGAGATGGAGGAGGATGGTGACGGAAAAAGAAAAGGTGGATGAAGGAGGAGATGAAGAAGGGAATTAAGAAGAGATGGATGACGGAGGTAGAGAAGGAGAAGAGGTTGAAGGCCAAGGAGATGGAGAGAGGGATGAAGGAGAAAGGAAGGGGATGAAGAAAGGGGGTTGGAGGCGATGAAGGAATAGAGGATGATGGAGGAAGAAGAGAAGGGGATGGAGAAGGAGATGGAAAATGAGATGAAAGAGAAGGAGAACTGGAGGAAGAAGATGAGAAAATTAATTGATGAAAATTAATTGATAAGGACCTGGGGAAATGGGGTGGGATGTGGGACGCATAGAGGTTGTTCATAAATCTGAGGAAAGAAGGATTGGAGCAGTGGATGAAGGACCAGGGCTGAGACAAATTTCACATGGCTTTAGAAGAAGGTAGACAGACACTAACTGCAACTTCCTCTGTTACAAGTTCAATCTTGGGGTTTCTTGGAGTCCATAGGAACTAGGATATTTGCTCTAACCACTGTCCCTTGAAAAAGTACCAGCTTTGTATACTTAGATGCACCTGGAGAATCCTATCTAGTAGACCATCATCTCGATTCAACCTTGTCCCCTCTCCGTTCTTTCATTCCAGCACCCTTAAAATGTGTGAAGAGATGTCTCACCTTCTGCGCAACATTCGCAGCATCATCTGCATTTTCGAGAAGTATGCCAAGGATGATGGGGACTGTGGTACCTTGAGCAAAGGAGAGCTGAAACAGCTGATCCAAACGGAGTTCGCTGACGTCATTGTGGTGAGTGCTGAGAACTTGGGCCAGAAGGAAGGAGGAGACCAAGAGGGACTGTCTACAAGAACGGTAGAGAATTGGAAGCATAGAGTAGGAAGGGACAAAATCTGGGCTGTGGATCGTGCCCAAGCCATGATTAGATGCAATTGTGGGTTGTTGGCATTTGGTGCCTCCAAACATGTTGGAGAACCACAACTGAGTTCTAAACCAAACCACCATGTTATGGCCTGTGGCAGCAAGTCAACCCGACGAAAGAGAAACTTTGCATCCTAAAAGGTCCTTCAACTTTGAGTGTTCCCAGCTCAGATGCACAGAATCTATAAATCAGTCTTTTTTAAGAAACTTTCTCGGGTTTGCACTAGTTACAAGTGCTGTCCTCCTAAGAACTTAGTAGTTGAACACAGGAGAGTAGAAAGAGCAGCAGATCATGGTTTGTTTCCTAGAATATCACTTTTGGACCTTTTCTATAAATTGGTTTTATTCTTCAGCCTGTTTCCTCGTTTATTTATGGAATTGTGAGAGGGGCTCAAAAATCCCATTAGATATGCATCAGAAGTGAGTATGTGAGCAAAGGCATTTCTGGGTATCAGGGCATAATTGAGAAGAGTTGACTTGAGTTGAGTTGAGTTGAGTTGAGTGTCATTGCACCTCGTACAATGAAATTAAATACCATCTTCAGTTGTACATTATGAGAGCAGCAGTTGAGATGAAACAAATGGATTTTCTTATAATCTTTTGGGGATTTCTTCTTTGCAGGATCCACATGATCCCAAGACAATAGAGACAGTGCTCCATCTGTTAGACACCGACTGTGATGGCAAAGTAGGTTTTGAAGAATTTACAGTCCTGGTCTTCAAGGTGGTCAAAGCCTGTTATAAGAAAGTCCAAGAATGCCAGCATACAGCAGGTGGACCATCCAAGAGAGATATCACCAACATTCAGCAGCGGGACATCCCACCTCAACAAGTGTCCAGAGATGGACCATCCCAGAGAGATATCTCCAGGACACAGCAGCGGGACATCCCACCTCAACAATTGTCCAGAGATGGACCATCCCA